ATTGTAGAAACTCAATTATCTAGCCTGGCCCAGAGGAGGAGTTTTGTGTTGCATAAATTGTGAGTTCTGTGTGCCAGTAAATCAGTCTTGTTCCAGCATTAAGCCTTGGCTCATGTTTGGGGGAAGGGATACCTACACTCTGGGGATTGCTATAATCACTTACTCCCCAGAGGAAGCTCTTGCAATAGCTTGATTTGTTCCTGTTCTCTGGGGAAAGAGAGGTTCACCCACTGGAAGCTGGATCCTGGCCTTGGGTCCAGGGTGGGTGGAAACAGCAGAGACCCCGGCGCAGTTGCATCGCTGGAAGTGGGGTCTGCAGTGCTGATGGTGTCGGTTGGAGTGCTTGGAGTCCTCAGCGAGCACTAGGAGCATCGATTGGCGGAGGTACTCAGTCAGAGTGCCAGCGTTCCGTCACAGTATATTACTCTTGCAACAATATTCCACATTAGTTTTACAGCCACTGAATAATAATCAGTTTTTGAGGATTTTTTTTTTCTGCCAGATTTGGGTCTTCCACCATTTTTTGGGACTTTCTACTGACCCATTTTCCCCGCTTCTTATGAAGGTCTGTGGAAGGGCTCACTAAATTATTCAGAATTTCTCAGTTTTACTAGAAGGCCAAATTGAGGCTATAATAACCAAACATAGCGGATTTGGAAAATATGCCCAATTCAGCTATTGAGGTCACCTTGAATTCCTGACAATCCACTTTTTTGTAAATAGAGCCGTTTCTGTTCTTTAGATCCACAAAAATATATCAGCAGCATATTTAATTTCTTAGTTTACGGCTTATTTATTGGTTTACTGTGAATGCCTCTCATATTACCTTAAATAATAAATAATTTTAGATGAAGAAATACAGGTCCCAACTTTTGGCTAACCTTCGATTAGTTGCTGAATTCACTATTCATTTTCTCTGACAACTATTCTGTTGCTTTTCTGTGGGGAGGAGTAAAAAACAAAATAAAAGATTATGCTGTCCAATTATCTCCCATTTCATCCTCTTTATTGTATGTTAGTATATTCTCTGTTCTGTAAGAAGGATTATGCTCCCCTTCTTATGTATTTCCTCTGTCTTGTCACTCCTATCCTTTGCACACATGTGAATTATCATTTGCAAACTTTCTAAATGAAAAAATATGTATACCAATAAAAACAAGCTGCGTTAAAGAAATGGTTACAATTACCAACATGCTGTAGTTAATGCTGTTCAAAGTATCTTCCTCCAGTTTTATGTTAAACCATTTAGAAGCAGCTTGGCAGGTTGCTAAAAAGTAAATAAAATAAAAAAAATAAAAATATATATATATATTAAATGCTTTAATTATTTTATAATATAATGCATATATATGATTTCATTATGTGTGTACTTAGAGATACACATATCTCAAAATACACTTAGAATTAAAGCATTTTATAATGTATTATGCATATATGATTTCATTATATTACACATATATAGGAAATAAAAGTGTGTGTGTGTATATACACACACACACACACACACACACACACACACACACGTATTATATGTATGCATGAAAACAAAAACGCTAACTTTGGCCAGCGTTCATGACTAAGTGGCTACTACAAAAGACTGGAAATACCCCATTTGGAATACCCTGGGTTGTCTATATTTGAAAATGATATGCCATGATGAGGTTATTTCACATTCCTGGGCTACCATATGGTCTCAAAAGGCAACACAGACCCAGCAAACATGGAAAAGGGGAAAGCCTTACATTTTACATTTAACCCCTGTAAGTTTGCAAAAACCCATACAACCTGTACATTGGGAGAACTGTTGTACGTGGGAGATGTTGCTGAACACATATTGCGGTGTTCTTTGGCAGTAACCCTTAAAGTTCTTCGTACATGTATTCTTAAATTGCTATGCGTGTCAAAAAAAAACAAACAAACAAAAAAAAAACCTGGGATTCCGTCTCAACTGGGTAGAGCCGTTGCGTCTTGGAGGTGGTGTTCCTCCCCTGCCCCGGAGCTGTGAGAGCTGGTGCTCGCAGGCTATGAGCCGGGGAACCGTCATGGTCTTTCGGGGTGGAGAGGGGAATCTTGGCTGTCTGTGTAGTAGTCGCTTTGCTGCTCTCCGTCGGTGTGGCCAGCCCCTCTGGGGTGTGCCGCCTGTTGCTCTTAGCCCGGGAGGGCCCTGAATGCGGGAGTCTGAAGCGTGGGGCTTAGTTTTGCCTTGAGGAGGGTTCCCAAGCACCTGTCGGACATCGGGTCTGTCCCGTGTGGGCGGTGTGTGTAGCGAGGCTCCTCAGGTTGTAAGCGCACCTGCAACGTGGCCCAGATGCGGTCAAAGATTACTGTAATGGAGTCTCTTGTATGGTCCCCGGTGTCCGCTACAGCACAATGTCACCGTCGTTTGTCCGACACTGTCGAGTCCAAGAGATTCGCCATCTTGGAGGCTCCCGTCTCCATATTGCTTAGGGAGGTTGCTGAGCCTGTCATGTGGTGTGGGGTTGGGGGCTCTCCGCCTGGCGGGGACCGGGATATCCCCCACCAGTCCACAGGGAAGGGGGGGTGAGTGGTTTGTGCTCACGTGCGGCGTTTAGCATCTGGCGGGAAGGAGGCCGTCCTTCCCCCATCACCCCGCCAGTAGGCCTCATTCTGCTGCTGCGGTTCCCGGTCGAGCCGGGTGTCAAGTGTGGTGTCGGCAGGTTCGGGACTGCTTCCCCGTTCCCTTGGGCTAATTTGTGGGTAAATTGCAGCATGATATCCAGAGTTATCCACATAATTTGGTATCCTACTGCAGGAGCTTGTGCAGAGTGCGTCTAGTGAGTCAGTTTGCCAGTTCAGCTCCGCCTCCATGTAACTTTTATTGCATTGTTTGAGTGCTATTTTTTCTGTGGTTGACTATAGTGTAACTGTATTAAATGTTTCTATAAATATTTTTTTGTTTTCTATTTGATGTGCAATTTTCAGACTTCTGAACATAATATATACGTGTTATATCTTTAGTTATAAAAAATGCGCATCATCCTGCATACAAGTTTATTTGTCAATAAAAAATTCAAATAAAACTACATTTTAAGAACAGGAAATGCAGTCCATGAAATTCTACAGGATTAATCAAGACAGGCTTAAACCATTTTGCCATGTCCCTAAGCAGATAGATCAAACATAAACAAAACCAAACAGCAATTGCTAAAGCCGGTCTCTTTTCCATTACACATTGACAGCCATCAATTCGCCTGCCCAAATTAAATTACTGCCAAAGCAAGGCAGCACTTCCCTCCTACAAAACGAGAAAAGCCTTTTGGATACAAGAGCCAAAGCAATTGTCTTTGTCTTTTTTTTATTTACGAGATCCCCACAGCAACAAGCACCTGCTTCCAGCTTTCTATGTAAACAGGAACGATAGTGTGTTCTGCATACAGCTCTGTGCACTAACAATTTGCCCAAACGTTAGGAAGCATTTCAATTAATTAGAGAAACATTTAACAGCATGTAGACTCTATCAACCCCCCACCCCCCCCATCTACTAGTGACGTATATCTTTAATATGCACCCAAATCACAGTGCAGCAGACTTACATTACCATCCAACAGTCCAATTTGTTGCTTAGGAAGCAAATATATTATCCACAAAGTATTAAATCATGAGTTGGATAAGAGTAAGATTTAATGGACGAGGAGAGAGAGATATCTCTGGAGTGAATTAAAAATGGGGCTTAATAAGTACACTATCCAGACATTGATCTACAACTGTAACAGCCTTCTGAAAAGAAGAAAAAGAAAAAAAAAAATACAGATGCACATTATAGAGGAGCCCTAGCCCTTGCAGGAACTCTTCTCTGCAGGATCCACCAAAGTACAATCAGGACAAGAACTATCCTTTTGTCTGCCACATGTTTGTTTATACAAAATGGCGGCCACCCAGGGGAAGCATTCATTATTACTTCCCTTGCGGTTTCGCACTTAAGTGGTCGGTGTCAACGTTCTAATGGGGTACAGGGGTGGTCCTTATTCGGGAGATGAAAGTATTCTGTTCGTATGAAGTATCTCGAACAGAAAAGGGATGAAACAGGCGAAATAAAAGGGGAAAGTATATATAATAGTACTTGCAGGTCTCTATTCTGCTACACACATTCTAATCTAAGAACTCTACATCTCCTCAGTTTGAAATCATATGTAAGAAATCTGGAAAACTATGTGGACTATTCTATTCAAGGATCTTTCATTCACGTCAATGGGTACCTATACATATTTTACCTGGTTATTACATGCTGATAACCACCAGTAGCAGTGTTCACTTGGTAAAGTACTCGATAAAAAAAAGTCCATATGAGCACCCAAAGTTCTTGAGCTGATACTGGGAAGTCATTCGTTTCCATAGCTCACCTATCGCTCACTCTGCACATTCTAGTCCTTTTAAATAGATTAAACATAGTTAAAAGGTTCACTCCAAGAACAACCACTACTTCAGCTTACTGAAGTGGCTATGGTGCAAAGAGTATCCACAAAGAATTTGGTTTTAAAAATGGTCCATTCTGGAAACCACATCTCTAGGCTGTTGGTCAGCAAGCTGGAATACCCCTATCCTGGCTGGTAAGATCATTTTTGTACAAATTTTGCTTCTAGAGCCAGATCACAAAGTATGCTACCCCCAAAAACCCATATCACGCTGTGTGAAATTTTGGCTGAGGCCGGTGGAAGTCAAAAAAATATATATTAACCCCTTGAGGACCAAACTTCTGGAATAAAAGGGAATCATGACATGTCAGACATGTCATGTGTCCTTGAGGGGTTAAAAAAAAAAAGAAAATATTTTATATATATATAAAATGGCACTCACCCTTACTGATACACTGTGAAATCCAATGCCGTGGTGCAATCCCACGCTGAAATAATATAGTAGATAGGTATGAAGGATGCACTCTTCGGTCTTTAAATTTTCCAAAATTATCTATTTCATTATTTAAAATGTGGCAAGTTGATCGACGTTTCGACCCATTCGGGTCTTCCTCAAGATGGGTCTCGAGGAAGACCTGAATGGGTCGAAACGTCGATCAACTCTTCGGTCTTTAAATTTTCCAAAATTATTTATTTCATTATTTAAAATGTGGCAAGTTGATCGACGTTTCGACCCATTCGGGTCTTCCTCAAGACCCATCTTCACCTACCTTAAGATTAGCTGTTCATCCTCCAGTTCCAGCCCTGCTCTACTCTGCTCAAGCAGGAAGGAAGTGTGCTACTCTGCACACTGCAGCGCCGCCGGCAGCTATGACTTCACATGCTAGTCATTGTGGGCCGCAAGTTTGACATGCTTACTTTAAAGTATATAAAAAAAAAAAATTAACCCCTTAATGACACATGACATGTGTGACATGTCATGATTCCCTTTTATTCCAGAAGTTTGGTCCTTAAGGGGTTAAAAAAGAAAGAGACAAGACAGAAAAAATAAAAAATACATTTCTGAAATGATATCACAATACATTTCTGAAAATGAAGGTTGAATGCGCTCTTCAGATGATAAAGCAAAATAATGGTTTGTGGTTTGATTTTAATGAAAGACGAATCCCATAGGGAAGATTCTATAAATAACTCCCAAGAGAACATAAAAAGCATTTCAGCTAAATATTGAACAGAGGATTCTTCTAAGCTGAAGACCAAGCAGGCAAGTGTTTCTTTTAAGTAGCTAGAGAATGAAAATGTAACGTACCAAAGAGCAAGGGTACTAAAAAAACAGATACATGCAACAGTATTCAACCAGACATTTAATTTTAATAATAATAATAATAATAATAATAATAATAGAGAGTTGTTAAGAATCAATCTAATTATTTCTTTAAAAAAAGAAACGGAGGTGGGGCGGAGCCAAGCTGCCATGCTGAGAGGTCGCACATGAGACAAGCTCCGTGCAAAAACGCTCCTAATCAACCTAAATTTGGGCAAAAACCCACCAAATCGACGATTAAACGACTTAGGGAAGTGAGCACTTAAATGCAGAGCCCAGCGACAACTATCCCGACCGAAATCGGAGGCATCTAACCGGAGATAGACCCGAGGCCTACTCAGACAAGGCGAGGGAGGTGCCTGATATCCATACCACCTGCAGCCATTCACTTGAAGGTCTCCCCGGTACACTTCCCCCCCCCTGCCGGTGAGGGATATCCCGGTATTTCAAGCTTGAGACACAGCGGCAAAACCAAAGCGAGAACTGTCCCACGCGGCCGGCACAGCTCCGGCAACCACCAGGCCACTAGGACGCAGCAAAGATGGCCGCCCATCGAGGACCCCAAAAGCAGAGCACATACGCCCAACCATCCACACACCCCCTGCGGGAATTTGACCGGCTTTGCGAGAGCCTCTGGACAATGCTGCGCGAACGCGGAATGGCTTACCGCCGGGCAGCAAAACTAGTGGCTACATGGATTCGTCCAGTGACCCGCCGGCGCCATTATAGACACCCACCACAAGCATCCGGGAAGGCCGCCAGGCTACGCAAACACCGCCGCTCTCATGGGCGGGAAACAACGCCATGTTCCATGGGCGACCGCACCTGCCCCCACATTAAGGAGACAAAGACCATTAAACCAGCCTTCCACGCCAGCTACTCACCTGACCCGAGAACCGGCGCTCGGCGGAGCTTGAACCCGTCCCTCCAAGCTACAACCGCAAACTGGGGAGAGGCACAGCTAAACATGCCACTGAAAGCTGCTGGAGCGGAGTCCCAGTCCAGGGGCGCCTTCGAGGAGTCAAACGTCGATGGCAAGAGACACGTTCAAGCAACGGGCATCGGCTAAAGGCCTGCCTTTGTGCCCCTCAAGTGGACATGCCTCACCTGCATATGGAGGGCACGCTTACAGTCCTCGATGTGCGGACTACCCGCATCAAGTAACCACAACATTTCTCTTTAGTTGCTACCGTAGGGACAGAACGTTATCAATGACTCTTTACCTTAATAGCTAATGCCAGCTTGACTTTTCTTTACACACATACTGCATTAAAAATAGTGAGCCATGTAGAGATGGCTCCATACCTTCGAAACATAAGCATGACAAGCAACGTTTTATTATAGAGTTTTACCCCTCATGCCTAGCCAGCCTCTCTGAGCTACCAAAACAAGTTCTATAGCTTAGACATGAGGAACAAGCCTTTATCCCATGGTTATCTACTTGAAGCTTGTCGTATTTTCACCCAGTATAGCACATTTAAAATTACATTAACATAATGACTCTGCATAGGCAGACACCGCGATAGATGTGTTTAGCTCAGTCATATAATTCCATGTCTTAGCCTGTTTTCCTTTTATTGTGACTACTGGGTAATGCTTCCTAGTTAGCCAAGAAAAGTTACCTTTTGTTTTTTATGAAGCCCAGGGGAAAATCCTGTTTACCTATCTGTTAAAAAATGTGTGCAGTACCTTTCTATTCCACAAGCCTGTTTTAACAATGTCACCCACTCTACTTGTTATTGCTATTGTGGCACAACAAGCGACTGTATTAACTGAATGCACCACAAAAATAAAGAATTTAAAAAAAGAAAAAAAAAAGAAACGGACATATGTTTATCAATTTGTTATAGGGTACATGTGTCAGAACTGCACAAGTGGTACTTCCTGGCCAAGAGTCCATTAGTGACCCACAACTGTGCTGCTCTGCCTCCTGCTGGTTATAATTTTTAAAGAGATGGATTAATTTTTGTTTTAGCTGTGCTATGTGGCTTGCAAACTGCACCAAGAAACTAGGGTGAAGTGCCTAGAATAATCTCATATGCCATCAATTGCGACTGTACGCCTCTTCAATAAGAGGTCTATCTATTCTCCATGGTTTATCAGTGCTTCAATCTTGAACACAGCCCGGATTAGATATTATATCCTCGCCCTGCCAAGAATAGCGCTTCTCATTCATTCATTCAGACACTGTCCATTTTCCAACAGATCAGTGCTTCTTCTTACAGACATCTTACTGGAGGTGATACTTCACACTTGACAAGTTTGTTAATCGGCACTCATAAGCAATCCCCAAAAATACATCAGGAAGAGATCATGGAAAAAAAATGCATTTATTTAAGTCAAAAATCTAAATGCATATGGCAAGATACTAGAACAGCAATCCTCATGTATACTGTATTGGTCCAAGCATTTAAAAAAATTATTATTATTATTTTTTTATTTTTTTTAAGTCAATAAAAAAAGGTTATTAGTGAACAAAGTAAAGGTCCAAAACGTGAGCATATGACCACCCGCAGCTGCTGTACAGGGGCGAGAGCACCAAATAATAAGACCCTAAATAAAGTTTAGAGAAGCCCTGGATGTGCATCACACCACTCCTGGTGCTTTCTCAACATCTGCAGGTGAACCAGATTACCATTAACAGTAAAGATTTGAAAAGAGATCTGTGGAGATTAAGGGCTCACGGAAGACCTTAAATTAAATTGAGGGATGGGCTTTTTTTTCTTTTAAAATCTCTAATGCAGGCATTCCAGAGGTGCACGCCATTACAATACTAGATGGTTGGTGGTAAATGAATTGCAGTGAAACGTTAAAGGCCTATTGATGACAGCGAGCAGTGCTATAAATGAACAAATCCCATGACTGTTTATCAATGTGACCAGTAACAACCACTGCTATGCCCCAAGTCCAATCCAATTTATACACTGTGTACATAAGATACCCAATTTCCACTATGTCTTTATTAACCCCTTAAGGACACATGACATGTGTGACATGTCATGATTCCTTTTTATTCCAGAAGTTTGGTCCTTAAGGGGTTAAATATTCAAACTAAAATAGTAAGGGGAGAAAAAAAAATAAAAAAGCACTTAGATGACATGGGGGAATGGACAGACTAGCAGAACAGTTCTTACAAATTTAACTTTCCAAACACTACGCACCATAACCACTACAGCTTATTGTAATGATTACTATAAGATTAGACTTTGGATGCAGGCCCTCCTGTTTTTGTTAAGCTCAATTACATGCACCCTTTCACTTTCACTGACGTGAACATGAAGAATTCACATTTTATAACAATTGTTCACTCAACCAGAAATGGAACCTTAACTCCGAACTAGGCCCTGAAGGAACAAGTTTAGCAGGAAAAAGGTACCAGACTGGCAGATACAGAAGCAAACCTTCTGGCAATGATACGGTTAAGCATGAATCTACATCCATGATTGCATGCAAGTGATCAGGAAGTCCTAATAAAAATACAGGTGATAAAAAAAGAAAAATGCAAAATTTGAATAAACTTTACATTTTGTTTGTTGTGCTCACACAGTTCAACAGTCCAAAGCAATTCACAGTACTTGCCTATACAGGGTAGTTGGCAACTTGTGTGCAAGCACTGGCTGGCATGCATGTACACTTTTGCCCTTTGTTCCAAGAATGCCCACACCCCAGGAGGAGACAGGTTGAAATGGTCTTATTCAGAATTAAAGAAAAAAAAAAAAACACTGCTCAAGAGTTGGAAGGGGTCCTATACCACTATCATGTTCTAGGAATTGTAAAACAACTCCTATGCAAATTCATATATTCTGGAAATCCTGAGCTCCGTTGGAGAGCTAAAATCGGCACAACTCCAAAACAGGAAAGTGTAGCATCTTCCAATCTGGCAATCATGGATAGTATATAGACCTTATTGTTTCTACATACACCCATCAGTAACCATGGACCCATGTTTCCCCACTTTTTCTTTTTACAATATTTTTCATTGAATGTTATTGTTCCGTAAATAAAAAAATAAATAAAATAAAACTGGGGTCTGTTGGGCAGCTCTCCCTGCCACCACTAGGGCCTCTGTGTGAGGCAGAAGCACTCTGCCTGAGCTCAACTTAGTGAGGAAGGCTTATCGCACTGACGCTTTCAGCCAATGAGTGGGAAACAGCGTCAGGTGGACGCCAGGTAAGAATTCAAACTGTTATAAAACTGTTGTGGTTATTGTGCTTACAGTATTCCATGAATATAGTTCAAGAAAATAACTCAGGTGTTGCAGAATGTTAAAATAGAATCCCCTACGTTAGTGGTATCCATAGATGCAGAGAAAGCCTTCGATAGGGTCAGGTGGCAATTTCTATTTCCAGTTTTAAAGAGTTTGGGCTTTCCAGACGAATTCCTAACGATCACAAGAGCAATGTACCACAACGTACGGGCACAGG